AGGACCGTCGGTCGCTGAATGGAGGATGCCTCGACAGGTGCGGACGTATCCCCCACGGCAGGCGCCATGACCGGCTCCGAAGCTGGAGCTGATACGACGGCCGGATCGGCCGTAGCCTCAGGTAGGGAGACGGCTGGAGGAATCGGGTTTGCTGAAGCTGGGGCAGCCGGGACAGGAGATGCGGCAGGAGCAATTGTCCTTGTGGTGTCACTGGGAACAACATGAATCTCCCGATCACCTTTCTTCGCCAACTTCTTGACACGTTTGGAAGGACGAGGAGCGTCATCCTCCGGCTCGGTTTCTCGATAAGGGCGTTTGGCGGAGACTGTCCGCTAGGTGGCAATGGTCCTCTTCGTGGGAACCAATTTTTTCACCCTCACCACCGCGGCCATCGCTTCCACCTTCCTCGACACACGACCCCCTGAAAAAGCAAAGTAATTAATAACAGGGGGCAAGTAATTGAAGTACAACAAGCGAAATGACAATATACCTTAGGTCGACTCATTGGGTTGGGCCACAGGCGCTGGTTTGGGCCGGTCGCCGAAGACTTTGTTTACCACGTCTTCGACCGAGGCGCCGAAGAAGTCACAGGTGTACTCATCCCACCAATCTTCAAAGGTGTCGGTACCCAAGGATTCAGGAACGGTAGGCCGAAGCTGAAATTTCTTGCACCGATCCTGAAACTCCTGCTCCGTCGTCCTGCATTCCCTCTCGGAGGAACCAGAAAGGCGTCCTCGACTCAAGAGGGAACGAGAGGCGAGCAGGGGTATGGGGCAACCTTGGAGGTAGCCAAGCTACCGGGCGACAAAGTGGGGATGGTAGACCTCCCAGCTGGCTCGGCGGGCATCGCAACCAAGGGGGAGATCGCGAGCCAGTACGAATGACCCCCAGTGTTGACGAAGGTCCGCATCCTCGGTCTCGACCCACGCTGCCGTTGGGAGCCTGATCGAGGCAGGGTACTTCATAAGATTTCTAAGCATCATCAAACTAATACAGACATAACTTGAATTTCTTTGAGATATTTCAAAAAGAAGTTAATTATCATCATCTCCAACACAGGACCCATGGTCTTTCAAGGCTTTCTTCTTCTTCTCACTCCCTCCTCCTCCACCCTTCAGCCTCTTCTGTCCCATTCTCCCACTCCAAAAAACCCAAAAACCCTCTTGTGCTTTTTATCAAATACCTGGAGAACCCAATTCACCACAACTAAACAAACACCGTTGCTCTGTTTTCAAATACCCAACACCCACCAACTAAACACACCTCTTCATCCAATTTTCCAGAACCCAAGTCATAAAAATCAAATCTAAGGATGGTAAGAGTTCCGTGAGATTCTGTTACGACCGCTAGGGTTTGGGAGAGGAGTGGGAGAGGAAAGAAGGGAGTGAAAAAATGTAAGCAAGCTGGATTGGAAATCCTAGGGGTGGAGGTGGGGTTCTTTTTTTCTCTTGGTTATGTATATTTGTGCTCACAAATCCAATAAAATCCACAACTTAATAAAATACTATCAAATCCTTGATTTTTTTAATACCCCTAGATTTATAATCACTTTAAAAATCCCTATCAAAATCTATATTGACTACCCATAGATTTGGATGTATTTTTAAAATCCTCTCAAATCCTAATTTGACTACATTATGATTGATTACATTATGATTTTAAAGTCTATTAAAATCTTGTGAAATCCTATCAAATCCTAATTTGACTATACCCCTCTAAACAAATAGGACTTTTAACGTTACAATTGTGAACCTTCTGTGTAAGAGTCCAAGAGGTGAGACAAGAACCCAATCTTAGGTTCTCAAGGACATAAAAATCATGCTAGAATATTAGAAATCTCAGCCGTCCATACCCTACTCGCAACGTACTCAACATCGAGGGAGTCGGAGAGAGAGAGACGACATGGTGACGGTAAATCGGTTTTATTGAAATCTCTCTCAAAGAGGTCGCCCAATATGTAAAAGATGGAGGTAGCATTACCTGGTAAGCGTGATCAGCGAAAAGAAAAGGGGCCTGAAGGCTGACGGAGTGCAGGAGAAACAAATTAGCAACTGATCGACTAACAAATTAAAAGATGGAGGACGGAAATATATATGTAATAGTGATATGATGGAAGGGAAGCAATCCTTATTTTTTTATAAAAATGAGAATTAGTTGTGTAGTCCATATCACATCGAACTTTAATGATCTGAACTGTCTATTTTTCAAGTTTTACCTCATAGATCATCCTTGCAGTAGGTTTAAAATGCGGTTATGAATGACAATTATATAAAACGAAGAGCACTTTAGTTTATGCGGTAAAGCGACATACACAATAGAAAAGTCCATAGACTGATTCCACTGAGGAAGGACTTTTACACATAACATAAACTTAATTTATCGTCGTACTCAATGTGACAACGAGTCTGTAGAAATATTCAAAATACTTTTCCTGACTTTTTAATTAAAAAATTAAAAGAAACACATGCGGCAGCAAGCTAGAAGTCGGATCATTTTCCTAAGAATCCTAGGGATCTAACAATCATATCCATTCATCGTACATCGTACAGTTAGAAATCATTTAAAATTCAAATATAAATAGTACCTAACAAAACCTGACCGCACAATATACGATGAACGAACAAGATTGTAAGATCCATGATCACAAACACGAAGGGCACTACATGCCGCCATCTATTTTTCATTTTGTGATTATTTTCATTTTAATAAATACCACACATCCCACATTTGTACCACCTTTTTTTTTTTTTTTTTTTTTTTTTTTATAAAGATGAGACTCACATGTGTCAGTAGTCCTACTTATATTAAAGATGTAGTACAAATGTGGGATGAAAATAATAAGTATAACATTACCGCTTTTTTATCATTTGATAATCTAAAGTACTCTTAAGGTAACGAATGATGTCTTTAACATCAATCCAGTGTCTGTTTAGGCGCGTTGCTACATCTTGCTAAAAGATTAATAGCGAAGGAGATGTACGGTAGAATACCCTAAGCTACGTAAAATAAAGCACCAATTGCACTAATGTATGGAACTTGAAGCTCCAAAACTAATTCCTCAGCTTGTTTGTTGTGAATATCGTGTTTAAGAATGAGAAAAAACAGAACAAACTCCGAAATCGAACAAATAACCAATATAATTTAACATCAAGAGTTAACATTGTTTGGCTGTATGTGCCTATGTCCATAGGGCAGGAACAACAATATTTCACTATATCAATAATGAGTACAACGGATAATCTTGTCAAGCCTCTAGAATTAAGATTTGATGAAAAACGTGAAAGAATAAGAATAGAAATACACACTTTATCTCTTTTTTTTTCTTCAATAAGGATTACTAATCCTAATTAGAATCTAGTTATGAATCCTTCTCTAGTTAAGATACTAACTCTAATTGGGAAAGCAACTTAAATGGGTAAATAATTTAAATTGGGTAAACAACTCCAATTAGGAAAACAACTCTAATTGGGTAAACAACTCCAATTGGGAAAACCACTCCAATTGGGAAAACGACTCTAAATGGGAAAACCACTAAATCATGTAAGTCTATAATTCCTAATAGACTGAGGACAACTCACCATGGGTTGGAAAAACCCAACAATCTCCCTCTTTAGGTCATGAGGAATGTATACCAAAATAGGATTGCTCTTTTTGATCAAACTCCCACTAATCAAACTTCTCATAATTAGGCTCCTCTTGCTTGAACTACACAGGACGAGACTGCCCCTGATCAAACTACTTATAATCAGGCTCCTTCTGATTAAACTAGTCATAACCAGACTCCTCATGATCAAACATCTCTTAACCAAGTTCCTCTTGATCAGACTTCTCTTGACTAGGCTCCCCTTGATTAGAACTACACACATTCATTAGCAAAGGAAATTATAGACTTCTTTGCCAAAAAACCTTGCTAATCTTTATTTTGGTCCAATCAACATCAGATATACTTACTGGCTTGTTCTTAACACATTCAATAAAGCATGTCCTCCATTCTTGATTTCCACGTAACCTAGTTAGAGTGGGTGGGTTTCATCATAGTGTTAATCGCATTGTGGGGTCATGATTTTTCAGGGCCAAAGTAAGGTTGATCGGAATACAATTACCTCATAAGTTCGGTAATAAACTCTGCAACTTTGAGCAGAGTTGTATCAGACAGAGCAGTAATGCTACCATTACCCTGCTCCAGGGTAATAGGCGAAGTTCGAGCGACTCCACTGGAATGACTATGCTTATTCCGAAAGACACGAGTTCTGATTCGGATAAGGACTCAATCAGATTCCTCATAAGTCTTGGCGTTCCTACAATTTAGGAATTGGCGTGCACCGTAAGTAATCACGCTCCTAAGAGGACACAATATTTACTCTTAGGTATCTTTACTCTTAGGTGTCATCTAGGATTCTTTTGGTTTAGTACAAGGATTCTATCCTAAAAGGTCTCTCTCCCTGTCGGTCCATCTAAGGTTCATCTCTGGTAACACTAACACTATTAATGGGGACAATCCACTACCTGATGCATCCGTTGCCCAAGAACAGATAACTGTTACCTAATGACTTTGCCACTCTTGGAGCGAGTAATGACCTACAAAAAGTAGTAGCTGCACCTGGGAACAACGAGGAGTACATCACCAAGCCCCCACCTTCCATGGACTAGATTTGGGAGACCTTGATGAAGATTAATGTTACAACCCATACCTTGAAATATTGTATTTTATTCCCGAGACATGTGGAATGACTATTTTACCCCTGAGTGGGTGTCTTAATTAATTTACCGAGCCACGACTCGAGAATTATATTCCTGTACTTTCTTAGGTTTCATAACGTTTATTTTCGTATGTTAGTTTTACATTGAAAATGAATTACAAATCAAGATCTCGAGGGTCTATTTGTAATTTAAAATAATTGGAGGGGCAATTTTGTATTTTCACTTAAAACAATTTTTAAACAATTTTTAAGTGGGATTAAACACACTCCGGTCTCCCTTCCGCCTCATTTCTGAAATCACTCCCCTTTGTTCTCTAACTCTCGATTCTCTCTGTAAACATTCTCATTTTCCCTTTCCTGCGCTAAGAAGGAAACCACCATCACCTACACCATTTTTGTCCAAATCAAACCCCAAAAATCTGAACCTTGAACCTTTGGGACATGGGAAATCCACTTACAGCCTTGCATGTGTCATCAGAGCACCTCCGTGTGCTCTGCCATTAATGTCGAGAGCTTGAGCTCTCTCAAACTTCATCTCAGGTATGATTTAATCCCTCTCTTGGTTAGTGTGGGTAATAATCTGGTCTTTGATGTGTGTTTATGTCAAAAATCCAAGGGTTTAAACCCTGTTTTGAATCTGTGCATGCATGTCACCCCGGCGACCAATTCTAACGAATGTCGTTGAGTTTGAAGCTAAATGGTGATTGTCTTCTTTGGTTTTAGCTCGATCTTGGCTTTTGATGTGTGTTTGGGGCTAACCTAAGCTTGAAATTATGGGACTAACCTTTTCCATACACCCATACTCCTTGTCTAGTTTTCGACCGTGAAACCCGAGCATTCTCCTGCGAGTTCGAATTGCACTCAAACTCCTTTGAATACTATCCTAGGTAATTATTACCTATTTGCATGTGAGTTGTTGGTTAGAAATTGCCATGTATTGACATGCATACCCTCTGCCTATTGTTTCCATATTCTGACAAGTTGCACCGAGCCCAAACTGTTGAATCCGAGGTGGGTTCAACTTCTCCTTATCCTAAAAAGGTCCTAGGTGAGTTCTTGATGATTTTTAGGACTAGATTATACAAATTTTGGCTTTGAAAACGATGAAATTGAGCTTGGGAAAGCCCTGATGGCATTTTGGGTTTTCTTTGCAGTTTCTAGCGAGACTCTGACGATTAGCGACAGTGACCAACGACGGTCATCATTAACTTTGACGGTAGGAACTAAGATTCCGTTAATTTTCACAGAATCTTGCAACGGAAAAGGTATATTTCGTTAAGTCTTAGTTAAGCGTCACTGCATTGGTGTGTGGCTCTAGCGACAGCGAGTGTGACATCTATTTGTTAAACTGTGGGTGCTAGTACGACGGCACGTTCACCAACGATAGTGATCGACGGTGCCGCGTGTTTCTCAGCGCATGACGGCATGTGGCACCACCTTTGCAATGCATGGTGGCACGTGGTTGAAGCATGGCAACGTGTGGGGACACTTACGACGACGCTTAACGGACCTGAGACCTAACCCTAGTTTTTTTGGTGTTCTAAGTAATGTGGTGCCCTCCGTTTGTCCAAATTCAAGACATAAATGGTATTTTGGGCACTGTCCCATAAATTGATGATAAAGCTTGATTTAGCTTATATCGACTATCACATGGTTATTAGAGGATCAAAAAAGATTTAGGCGGGGAGCCTAGTGGCAAAGGACTCTCTGCTTACTTGTGAGTGGACCCCTTCAAAAACTAAACATTTTTACATTATATATATACACACACGGTAGCGTGTGGCAACGTATGCGGCGGCACTTGATTGACCCGAGACCTAACCCAAGTTTTTTTTATGTTCTAAATAATGCGGTGCCCTCCGTTGGTGCAAATTCAATACCTAAATGGTATTCTTGGGCAATATCCCATAAATTGATGATTAAAGCTTGATTTAGCTTATATTGACTATCACAAGGTTATTAGAGGATCAAAAAGGATTTAGGCGGGGAGCCTAGTGGCGAAGGACGCTCTACTTACCTATGAAGGGACCCCTTCAAAAACTAAACATTTTTAAGTGTGTGTGTGTATAAATATATGTTTATAGATGTTTTATATGCGGATGCATATTACAATGTTGGTCTTTGATAAGACTTATGACGATTTGACAATATCTTTAGATCATTGGTGATTATTTTCACCACATGTTCTCTTATATATGTTGTATAGTTATCTTCGGTCGTAGATTACTTGTAAGGGATATTTATCCTAGTAGATGTTAGGGTTGTTGATTATTACTGGTATTGTGTTTAGCCAGTTAATGCTAGTATATCATGCTTGCTATACTTATGCTAGTGGACCCCAGTGTGATTGATTGAGTTAAGGTATGATATTTGAACTTGGATTGAATATTTTCGATTGTAAAGATTGATGAGATTTTACTATTATGGTAGTAAATATTATTAATAGTTTTTGCTATATATGTTTTCAAAACAGGGGTTATTATGTCAAATGATGATCTTATAATTGTGATAAAATTGGTCCACTCACATTTTGTTTTATTAATCCCTTCAGGAGGTAACAAAAGTAAGGAGAACACTGGTGGTGACGAGTGAGCTTGGAAGTGAAGCTTTCATCCTCTGGATATTGGGTGATGATTCATTTACTGCAGTTTTATCTTATTGTAATAATGGCATGATCATAGTTTTGATTATGCATAGCATTGCACTTTTATGTGTTTACTATTAAGTGAAACTTCTAGCTGCTTTGACATGATGTGATAATAACGGGTTTAAACCCGAGATAATTTGTGTCCCCAAATGGGGAGGATAATAAGTGATTTCTTATAGTAGCTTTGGATTTATTATTAATGAACGTTTTTGGTTCAAATTCCTTCACATCATAAATATCTTACTATGGCTTCATCCTTAAGTTGGCTTGTGATGTCATCTTAGGATGAGGTCATATGGTTAATTTAGCGTCTGCCAGCATATCACAGCCTTGTAACTTGTGTTATTGGGATTGGGGTGTATCAGTTTGGTATCAGAGCATGGTTAGGAGAAACATACAGGTTACAACAATTAATTGAGGCATTGGCCAACTGATTCCTAATGCGAGTTGTGGTTGCACTCAAGCAGAATTGTAGTGAGTCATGGTGCCTACTCTTTTGATGGCTGTGGAGCCGTAGCAAAAGCTGAATCTTAGTTGGAGCATATGGATGATGCAACCAAAGAATGAGAATGATAACTTTCTTCATGGTTGATAGTGCCAAGAATTGGTGGAAGACGGAGCATCTTAATCTTTGGGCTGATAAGGTTTAGACTTGAGATCTCTTTAAGGAGCGGTTCAACAATTTTTTGAGCCCTGAGTTTCAAGCTATTAGGAGGTGGGAGTTTTTGGCTCTCAAGCAAGGAGACATGGTTGTTGTCGACTATGAACGAGACTTTTTGCGCTTGGTCGAGTATTGCCCTGGTATTCATGATAATGTCAATGAGAAGAAGAAGTCGTTCATTTTTGGCCTTAATCCCGAGTTGTGCACCTATGTTGTGGTCAATAACAATGTTATTGAGATTCGAAGTTTCTTGGGTTTGGTAGGATACTAACAAAGATTTATGAAAGATTTCTTGTCAATTGTTGCTCCACTTACTAAGTTGACTCAAAAGGTGACTTTTGAGTGGAACAAAGACTATGAGTGTAGTTTTCAAGAATTGCTCACTCATGTTTCAGTGCTTGCACTTCTTGACGAGAGCAATGAATATAAAGTTTATACTGATGCATCATACCAAGGCTTGGGTTGCATTTTGATGCAACATGGAAAACAGATATCTTATGCTTCTCGACACCTTAAACATCATGAGCAAAACTATTCTACCCATGATTTGGAATTAGCAGTTGTGGTGTTCGCATTGAAGTTGTGGTGACACTATCTTTAGGCAAAACTTGCCGCATATTCTTTTATCATAAAAGTTTGAAATATCTTTTTGAACAAAAAGAATTGAATCTTAAACAACAAAGATGGTTAGAGCCCATTAGCAATTATAATTGTACGATCGATTAACATCCTGGTTATGCAAATGTAATTGTTGATGCACTTAGTCAGAAGTTTTATGGTCAGATATCCTCTCTGGTGGAAATTTATACTCCAAATTTCTTGGAGTTAAGGAAAACCGATGTTCAACTGGAATGTGTTGATAGAGCACTAGTGCCACATTTTTAGGTGTGACCTATACATGCTGAACAATTTTGCTCAGCTCAGCAAAATGACCCAATATGTCAAAGGTGATAAAAGAAGTGGTTAATGGCACACAACAAGATCTTAAAGTTCGAAGAGATGGTATGCTTGTTTTGGGAACCCGACTCTTTTTTCCTCAGTATGAATACTTGATGAAGGAAATTCTGGATGAAGCACATATTTCAACTTATGCTATGCATCATAGTTCTACCAAGATGTATCACACTATGAAGCCTTTTCACTACTGGTCGAGTATGAAAAAGGATATCGCTGAGTATGTGAAAAAGTGTTTAATTTGCTAGCAAGTCAAAGCAAAATGATAGAAACCCACTGGTTTATCTCAACCTCTTCCTATGCCTATTTGGAAGTGGGAAGAAATTACCATGGATTTTCTCTACAAGTTACCAAGAACAAGAGCTAACCATGACGGTATTTGGGTAATTATGGATTGTGTCACGAAATCCGCACACTTTTATTCTGGTGCGTGAAAAGTTCTCAATTTCCAAATTTGCTCAATTGTTTATCAACCAGATTGTTCGACTGCATGGAGTACCAATTACCATTGTCTCTGATTGGGATGCCAGATTCACTTCCAAATTTTGGAGGGCTTTCTACCAAGCCATGGGTACTCAGCTACTTTATAGCACCATTTTCATCCTTAGACAGACGACCAGTCTGAAAGGACTATCCAGACGCTTGAGCAAACGTTATGCAATTCAAAAAAAGCTGGGATTGTCATCTACTATTAATGGAATTTACCTATAACAATAGCTTTCATACTAGTGTAACATCCCACATCGACCAACGGAAAGGGGGTGATGTGCCTTATATGTACATACCCTCCTCCATATAGCACAAGGCATTTTAGGAACTCACTGGCTTCGGGTTTCACCGAGACTGGGATGTGACAACTAGTCTCGGTATGTCACCTTTCGAGGCTTTGTATGGTAAGGCTTGTCGGACCCCATTATGTTGGAATGAAATGGGTGAAATAACCATTTTGGGTCCTGAAATGGTAGATGAAGCTACACGGAAGATATAAATAATAAAGAAGAATCTAAAGATAGCTCAAGATAGAAAGAAGAGTATTATGGATGGTCACACGAGGCATCACGAATATAATGTTAGCGATCGTGTATTTTTTATGTTGTCACCTTGGAAAGGCGTGGTGAAGTTCGGGAAGCAAGGAAAGCTTAGTCCTCAATACATTGGTCCCTACTTTATCAGTGAAAGTGTAGTAGCTTATCGTTTGGACTTACCTCTAGAGTTGTCGCGTGTGGACAATGTGTTCCATGTTCAATGCTTCAAGGGTATGTACCGGATGAATCACACGTGTTAGAATCATCACAGGCGGAGCTGCAAAAAGACCTAAGTTATGAAGAGAAACCAGTTGCTAATTGGATCGAAAAGAGAAAACACTTCGGAACAAGACGATACCTTTGGTGAAGGTCCCTTGGCGAAATCACAAGATTGAATAAGCTAATTGGGAAACTGAAGAAAGTATTAGAACTCAATATCCCTATCTCTTCTTCTACTAGAGTGGTAGAAATTTCGAGGACGAAATTTTCTTAACAGGGGCAAACTATTATAACCCGAGCCTTAAAAATATTGTATTTTATTCCCTAGACATGTGAAATGACTATTTTGCCCTTGAGTGTGTGTCTTAATTAATTTATCGAGCCTCGACTCGATAATTATATCTTTGTACTTTCTTAAGTTTCATAACTTTTATTTTTGTACATTAGTTTTACGTCGAAAATGAATTACGAATCAAGACCTCAAGGGTCTATTTGTAATTTAAAATAATTGGAGGGGCAATTTTATAATTTCACTTAAAACAATTTTTAAGTGGGATTATACCTACTCTGATCTAGGGGTACAACTTCGGTTGGGCCAACCCAAACTACCCATTTTCAACCCTACTTTTAAACACGACCAAGTGGATTTTTATTTTTTAGTTATAACCCGCCCAAACCCAATCCAATTTCAACCCGTTCATTGATTGGGTTGGGTTGGGTTGATCATTTGTCCAACCCAACCCAACCTGACCTAACCCGATTAACCAAACCCGATTGGGTTGAGCTGTGCAACATGTTTCTCAATGACCTTTGTACCTTCGTGGAGGATTCACTAGTGACTTTTGATGGATTATGATAGAAAAGTGCATGGAGTTGCAAAAAGCAATTGTTTTTCTAGCAGCCACACTTTGATTTTTCTGCAGGAGTTTCGAATGACAAGACTTGATTTGGGTACTAGCTTTGTTTTTTTGCAGACAAGACTTGAGTTGGGTACTAGCTTTGGACAATGAAGTGTTCCTCTTTTTCCTTTTCTATTTTTTCTTTTGGTACTAGCTTTGGTATTTCTTGTATTTTAATTCAAACTTTGCATGAACCCGATTAAAACTTGAAAAAGTTGGGCAACCAGAAACCAACCTAAGTAAACTCAAACCTGATTAAACCTGAACCCAAATGAACCCGATTAAAACCCAACCCGAACCTGAACTCAAATTGTAAAAGTTGGGTTAGGGTTGGGTTGACCTTCTAACCAGACCAACCCGCCCGAGTTACACCCCTATTCTGGTCTCCCTCCCTCCTCATTTTTGAAATCACTCTCTCTAACTCTCAATTCTCTTTCTAAACACTCTCATTTTCCATCTTTGGCACCGAGAAAGAAACCACCATCACCCATGCCATTTTTGTCCAAATCAAACCCCAAAAATCTAAGGGACATAAGGAATCCAACTGAAGCCTTGCATGCGTCATCAGAATACCTCCGTGTGCTCTGCCATTAACGTCGAAAGCTTGAGCTCTCTCGAACTCCATCTCAGGTATGATCTCTCTCTTGGTTACTGGGTTATAATCTAGTTTATGATGTGTGTATATGTCAAAAATCCAAGGTTTAAACCCTGTTTTGAATCTGTGCATGCATGTCACCCTGACGACCAATTCCGGCAAATGCCGTTGAGTTTGAAGCTAGGTGGTGACTGACTTATTTGGTTTTTGCTCAATCTTAGCTTCTGATGGGTGTTTAGGCTAACCTAAGCTTGAACTTATGGGACTAACCCTCTGCTTGCACCCATACTCTTTCTCTTAGTTTCTGACGGTGAAACCTGAGCATTCTCCGGTGAGTTTGAAGGTGTTGGCACTCAAACTCCTTTGAATATTATATCAGGTAATTGATTACCTATTTGCATGTGAGTTGTTGGTTAGAAATCTCCATGTATTGAAATGCATACCCTCTTCCTATTGTTTCCAAATTTCGGCGAGTTGCACCTAGCCTAAACTGTTGAATCCGAGGTGGATTCAGCGTCTCCTCATCTTGAAAAGGTCCTAGGTGAGTTCTTGGTGTTTTTTGGGACTAGATTATACAAATTTTGGCTTTGAAATTAATAGGAGCATATTTATGCGACTTAGTTAGCTTGTTTTCTTACATTTACATAGTTAGTTTCCATTTATTATAGTGTTTTAAGCTATTTTCGTGTGTTTGTAGGTCCTAATGGCAAAGCTGGCAAGAAAGTGCATTTTGGGTCTATTTAGCTTGTTTTGAGTTCTTAGAGTCTAGTTTAGTGTTTTTAAGTCTTATTTGTGTTGATTAGCATCCTTAGTTAATCTCTGGTCTAGAACGATCCCTACTTGCATATATATTACAATTGTCAACAATAGGGTT